TAAAATCCAGATATCCTGAAAATTTGGTAAGGGGAAGAAGGTTGAAATCTTGTGTAATACTGGAAGGAAAAAAAATCTGTTCAATTAAAATTATTGTTCATTTCTAGGATCAACATCAGATCTAATGCAGAATTACTGGAGATGGCCACAAAGCTATTCTCATTCATGGCACATTTTATATAAAATTTTGTGCTATGAGAAGAGGTGAGTTTGGTGGTCTCAGTCCAAGTTGCAGTGTCCAATTCACAAGCCCTCAACCCCACAATCAGTACTAATTACCACCCTGTTTGGTATTCTCCTCCCAGAAGCCTGAACCTTTCAGTTCACCCCAAAGACCCTCTTAGCACCTGTCCAGGTAGGGATAACACAAAACCCAGCTCACCTGTACACAGGAGTTTCAGAGTCCATTTAAGTGCTCACTTGACAACCACCCATCACATCCCACCCACGGGCGAGCCAGGTCCATTGCGCTGCTCTAGGGGCCTTCCAAACCCAGGGCCGGCTCCAGGCACCAGCTTGTCAAGCAGGTGCTTGGGGCAGCCGCTCCGGAGAGGGGCGGCACGTCCAGGTATTCGGCGGCAATTTGGCGGACGGTCCCTCACTCCACCTGGGAGCGAAGGACCTCCCGCCGAATTGCCGCCGCAGATCGCGATCGCGGCTTTTTTTTGTTTTGTTTTTTGTTTTGGCTGCTTGGGGCGGCCAAAACCCTGGAGCCGGCCCTGTCCAAACCCATCTCCTCTGGTGAATTTCACCCTGAAAGTAAGCTTCCCTCTTAATGATATTAATCATATACGTTTTTATTTTGTCTGCTATTTACCAGCAGATGGTGCTACAGGAACACTGAATAATGAGTGTATTAAGACCATGCAATGAACTACAATGGGTTATCAGCCAAACTTAGTTTGTTCTGCCTGTCACTGCAACAAGTTAGACAGTTTAGTTGCAACCATTTAAAACACAAATTTCATAAGTCATGCACAATAAACAGTAACATAAAATCTGAACTTACCTGGAAATTTAACAGATCACCCATTAAGCAAGTTGTAAAACAACTGAAATTAAGAACCATAGCAGAACCAAATGGAATTATCCAAATTCAGTATCTTGCAAGAATTAGTACTGAGGTAACCCAGTTGTGTTCATCTGTTAGCAAAGTGGTCCAGATCTAAAGAAGAAAATTGTGATATTAAAAAATACTTTGTTAATGCAGGCCCAGGGCAATACATTGCAATACTATTCACAAGACCTAGCTACAGATGTAGTTTTAGATACTGCCTGAAGTTGCAATGCTGAAAAAGTTCAGAGAAATGACATATTTGGCCACATTTTCTAAACCTGACTTTCAATGCTAGCAATTTTTGTGTGTGAAAACAGGTATCTGTGCATGCAAATCAGCTTAGTTCAGTACCTGTTTGAGCAAATGAGGTGTTTGCTCACAAAAATAGTTACATGAACAAACTTAGTATAATTTTAGAGACTAGGTTGAGAGCTGTTTGAAATTATGTTTGAAAAGGCTTGTAATTTGTATAATGGTGTTATAATAGAGATTATTAGGAGGGACTAATCATCAGAGCCTGCAGCCAAGCAATGTAAGATGCTACACAAGATTGTGGCTACAGCTCAGCTAATGCACTTCATTCCTGAGCTACAAGACACTGCTATTGCAGTCTTGCACCTATCTCAAGTATTATACCTTATCATTCAGTAATGTTGTCACTCAGTTTCAATGTGTTCCACGCAGGCTTTCAGCCCGGGGTGAATGACTAGTGCATTAACTGACTGCATCTCTTCTCCCCGTACCATTTGTCAACCAAAATTAATTATATTCAGTCACTAGTTATGACCATTTTTATATGGTGCTACATCTTGGGATGAACATTTGGCCCAAAGTTCAAACTTGAGGCAAAGTTCAGCTTTCTGCTTTGCTTTCAAAATCATGTAATTACTGAAAATTGTCACTGTTTAAAGAAGACAATATATATAATCAATAACTTGCACATATCAATCAGTGACATTTATTGGTTTCAGAGTAGCAGCCCTGTTACTCCTGTTCCATTTTATTTATTCTCTGCCACCACCCGATAACTTTAATAAAATCATATAATTAATAATACTACCACCTATCTGTGTAGGTACTTATATGATGCTCATCGGTGTAATTCTCAGCATCTTCACAGAGCATTTCCCACTCAAGGATGACAAAGACATTTGCAAATATTAATGACTTGACTTCACACATTCCTCTGAAGCAACAGAGTCCTCCTCTTTATTTACATTTTTTCATTGATTTCCATGGAGTTTGGCTCAAGGCCTAATTGCCAGATTTTCAAAAGGGCTCCACTCCCAGTTAGGCACTAAACAGACAGATTTTCAAAAGGTTGATGCTGAGCTCTCAAAAATCTGGCCATGGTAATTTGCCTAGGGTCATACACTGTGTCAGCATTCCAGCCTAAAATAAATAATAGGCATGCTGATTTGACTACTAACCAACATTCCCCACAAGCAGAAAGATTTGTGATATGCATATGATTTCACTGATGGCAAATTACAGACTTTGCTTAATTTAAAGGAACTGATCCTCAACTGATATAAAATGTCATAGTTCCATGGACTTATACGGGCGATGTGACAATTTACACTAGCTAAGGATCTGCCCAAAAATGGTGCACTCTCTTCTTTTAGCCGCATAAAGATTTGAGTTACAAAAGGAATGGTGGAATGTCACAAAAGGAATGTCACAATTCAGGCTAATAATCTGCAAGAGTAATGATATTGACCTAAACTACACCCAGGGTACAAGGGTTAGGATAAAAGTAAAAGGGTTACATCAACCTATGCAACACATATGAACCTAATAAGCAGATTTCTTTTCCAGATGGAAAGATTTAACATATGCTTAACAAATGAGAAGACTTGACATATGATGCATAAAGTTTTATTGCGAAAAAAAACTAGCTCCAGAAAAAGGCAATGAGTGTGCCCTTCAAATTCTATAGTTGTTTTATTATTAATTAATTAATTAATTATTATTAAAGGAAAACTATTGGATCAGTCAGGTTAATAAGAAAACTTTCTCTCCAGCCCAGCAAAGAGAGTTTTTTGAGCCAACTGAAAATTGGAGTTTGCATTCCGCAGTGGCAATCCTTACAACCAATTAGCTAGCACAATTGTTGCTGCAATTTCATAGTCCTCTAGTCTCAATTCAGTGCATGGATTTGTTGCATAAAGACTAGATGGTTTGTAGCACAAGAATTTGGGGACTTAAGGAAACAAAAATGATAGTGGATTCACAAATCAGAGAATAATAAAGAAAATTAAAATATAAGGATATTATTTAGAGGCTGGACTCTGTTGATTTTTGCACATTATACCTCGTAGTTGCTGAAGTTGGGATCTTCTACAGAACCTGTTACTATGATTTTGCTGATGGCTTCCTGTAAAACTGTTTGTTTTCTGACAAAGAGCCCGGTTTGAGAACTGCAAGGAAGAATGAGAACCATCCCAAAGGAAAAACACCAAAATTTATAAAGAGGAGGAAATATTTTCGCAACATGAAAGGCAGATTTTGTGAGGATTTGAAGTTCACTTACATGCCTCCTGCTGTGCTCCAGGTTTATTCTGGCAATCTTTTCTTTTTAGAAATTCAGAAATGGCTGTGATCCTATGTCTTCCTTAAATAACTTATTCATACATATACAAGAAGATAATGTTTTTGGAAATTCTGCATCCAAACCAAAGCTGGAATCTATATGCCAAACACCATGATCGAAAATCCTAAGGTATCTTTTTTTTAAAAAAAAAGTCTACTAGAGTTTTCTCATCCTTGCAGAAAAAACAGAGCACAATTCCATCCTGATCACAGTGAAAGGGTACTTTAAAGTGAAGACAGCTGTGTAGTAACCTATACCTCACAGTTGTTGGGTGTCTAGGAAGCTTTCTTGGCGATTCTATCGCCGAACACAATGCTTAGCCATACTATTTTATAAAAGGATGCAAAAACAACATATAACCAAGTCATAAAGCCATCTTCATTTTGTTACAGGATGAATCCAGGTGAAAAGCATCATGTAACTAGGCTTTATTCGTTGCCTTGTTGTCACAAATTAGAATAGATTATCATATAGATCAGGAAGATTTCTACCATCTGATTTCCTTTTGATATCCACCTTAACATTCTATGACATTTTCAATTCATGTGATTTGAAAATACTCACTACCCTCTCTGGATCAAGCCCTGGTCTTTATGCCCTCCTATGAATGTTTACTTTATTCAGGCTCCAAGCCGAAGCATTTTGCTGGATCAGGACCTTAGGATTCAATTATATCTTCTGCCAGGCCCAACCACAGTGGCAAGGAGGCACACCACCCAGGTGGAAAGAGGTATTGTTACTGAAAACCATGTTTTCTGTGTGCTGTGAGTCATCCAGGGGCAGAGTGAGGTGACATGGCATCACTCATGCTACACCAAGATATGCTCCCTCCAAGGCTACTAGTACAGACAACTCTCCTCTCCTGCATTCCTTAGTCCTAGGAGGTAGTTTATGCCTCTATCATGTGAAGATGCACTGGAGGAGGAGAAAGGGCTACCTATACTCTTTCCCCTGTATACCACATCCCGGCACGGGAGAGATGATTTAGTCCTTAATACCACATTGTTCCTTCTTTCAGCCACCTTATCACTTTAAGACAGGATTTCTGTGATAATGTAACAAGGCATGGCCAACTTGAGCACTTTGAGAGAAGAGATTAAAACTAACGTTTTTATGCTACCACATGACCCGTGGCTTATTAGCATATCTTCAAAAAATTACATGCACAGCATGAAAAAGCTGTTCTATTAAATATATTATTTCATAGTACAGTTGCGTTATAAAAAAGTATAGTAAGTCAGACTGTTCTGCAACCATATTACTTGAAACTGAAAACAACCCTCCTTTTGGAAATGTACTTATTCATCTTGGTTAAATCAAGACAATACAGATATACTTTTTTCCCAAATCTTTGGCTGTATTGCAATGGTTGTTTCAATCTGTAATCTCCAACTAAACATTTCCTATCCATGGATTAACAATATATTTACCAACTCGTGTCTTTTAACAGTATTTATCCAACATAACAAAATAAACTGCAATTTGTTATACTTTTTTTACAAAACATTTTATAAATATTTTTACAAAATGTATACAAAGCAATTTCAAGTGAGACATACTATACAAATGAAGGTATTTAAGCAAATAAAGTCCATACCACATTGACAATAAGTGACACATCCTCTTTAAGCGAAGTCAGTCTGTAAGGCCTCCCTAATCTAAGAGATAAATTATGCTAAACTCTTCAAAGTTAAAATTTTTTTTGTAATTGCCAGTTTAAAATTTATTTTAACCTTAGGCAGTATTCAAGAACATTGGAAATCATTATACTGATCCAGCAAAGCATTTTAGCATGTGCTTAAAATCAGGCATGTGTTAAAGTATTTCACTGGATCAGATTCCAATTCACACTTTATTAAAACAACATTTCATATATAAGATTATTTTGTTTACTGCATTACCAAGTACAAGTATTCCTAAAATAGAATTCAAATTAATGAATAACAGAACACTAATGATCCAACAGTAAGTTTGCTGGCCTTTGCTCAATGGATTCCTGACATAAGATGTTTGGACAAACCTTTGTCTGACCTAATCAACAATGATAAAAAACATGTCTTAATCTTTATTTGTCATTATCGATAATTCACTGCCCAGGAAAATAAATTTACATAATGGACACAACATTTTGTTATTTAGGTTATGTAGTTGCTGTACAGATGCTTGAAAGCTAATATGCTGTTTGAGATGGTACCAAGAGTGACAAGATCCATAAATGTGCATCTTTTTCTCATAAGATGAAAATTAAACTAATTTACATTGCTGATATAACTTACAGCCTTCCTTTCTAGAGTGCTCAGACTGGCTGAAATTGAATGAATTATAAGATACATTATCCTCAGGATACAGCCATCATTATCTTTATGACATTTCAAAGGCAATTGGCAAAGACTATACTGTCAGTCTCATTAACTAGAAAATAGCTAATTGCCTGAGAGTCTACTGTAATGATGCCCAGCTAGAAATTTAAAACTGGCAATACCATGTTATTATTTTAAATGTTTTACATGACATTTGGGAATGTTGGATTTTGACAAATTTGTACTTTAAAATTGGCACAAATTTTTTAAAATGGCAATTAATAATGTACAAAATATTTATATTTCCATTCACATTGAAGGGGAACTGAACCTTAATTATAACTTAACTATTGTTATCTTTCTCAGGTTGACTAGATTTGGTTTTCTTACGTTATCACATAGTGGGCTGCAGCTCAACAAGATGAGGTGCATTATAATTTTGTGCTGTTAAAAGCCCAAGGACCAAATTCTGCTCTCTTTTACACTGGTGCAAACTCACTGGTGTAAAGGATAGCAAAACCTGGCCTTTTGTTTTCTTTCCTGGCAGTTCTGGCAATCTGACTGACAACCACAGTTTGTCACAATAAGTCTCTAGATTATGATAATGGCAATCAGCAAATTTTGAAACATGGCTGTTTATTTTTGAGAGCAACAGGGAGGAAGATAGAAGGAAAGAGAGATAGAGAGCATGCCTTAGAAACCACAACAGCTCTACCCTTCTGAGCAGACATACATGCTAGATTCATCGTGGTAATGGCAGAACACTTATGTGCACAACAGCACTAATGACCAAAGTAAACTATTAAAAAAGAAGCATGGGCCATAAAAGGGAAAATGTCACATATTAAAAATAAATAAATAAAATAACAAGCTTCTATTCTCGTCAACATGAACACCAGCCAAATACAAACCACGCAGGGGTTTCCTTTGGCTCTAAAATGTGAATTAATAATTACACAGGTTTCGATATGTTTTAACAATGGGATAGCTGATTAACTTTGGTCTGTACATATTTTGGTAGTTATGACTGCTGCTGTGGATGACTAATATTCTCTGACAGCAAGAAGCAGAAACAAGCAACAACACTGGCCTTTAAATTTCTCAGATTACAGCTAATGTCCCCTCAAAGTATAAACTACTAATTTAATAACACAGTTTTCAAATAAAAGTGTTTTTGACACTTGGTCTTAAAAAAAAAAAAAAAAAAACATTTATACCACTTCAGAAAGACTTAGGTTGACTATATCCAATTATAAAATGCAAAACCTTCTCCTCAAGAGTTAACATATATATATATATATTTATATATATAAATTCATGGCTCTATCATGACCTCCTCCTGTATACTTTGCCACTTACTGGCTTCTGTTCTTCTTTCCTTAGTCTACCATATATTATTTCACACCATACCGTTGTGACTAACATTATACAGTATCATTCCACAGACTAAATTCACCCACTACAGATATACTCATGTACTACTTTCTGCTCAGTGACAACAGAAAAGCACTTAAAATATGAAGCCCTATAAACGTACCGATGACATCCTTCCAACTTAAAATCCTAGAGCAGATGGATTCATTAATAAATCAGACAGACAATCATTTCTGAATAGAGGTACAATGGGTATTTAACCACGAGCTTTTCCTGGAAAAAAACTAAAATCTAGTGATTTATGGAAGGGGGAAAATTGTTGCTTCCATTTGTCTTTTTAAAGTTTTCTTGAATAAATCGGTCTTTTCATACGACTGTGATTGTCAGTATATTACCTTATTACCTAGGGCCTAGTGAACTTCAATCTCATTAAATCGCAGTGTTAAACAATTACCATAAGCACTATCATTATAATACTTGAAATGTGTAGGCCCCAACAGACTGCATTCTAACAAGGATTAACTTTACTGGATATCTCACTGTAATCACAATGAGTATTGCTCTCAAACACAGAACAGAATCTAGTTTAGAAAGATTAACCTTTGACATATGTCAGGCTGTACTTGTGGTGTCATTCACATTTGCTTCTACTAAGAGAAACATAACTTGTCCATGGTACTGTAACTATTAACACTCTAAGATACTATTTACAGCTGCTTCTAAAATAGAGTCCGTTTCTACAACACCTTCACTGTGATCTGGAATAAATTTTTCCAGGCAGTTTTCTTGTGAAGCAATTGGTGAAAAGTTTGGAAAGTCTAATTCTACAGAGCCACTACCAGTAGCCTCACTTTGTGGCTGTCTCCCAGTTTTTTTCAGTTCCAAAATGTTTTTGAATGTAGTTTCTAAACTCTTATTGAGGAGTAAATCCTGTTGGGGTTCACCCGAACCTTTCATGTTGTCAGGATGTGAAACCTCATTCTTTGGAAAGCTCCTCTGAGTTTTGTCTTGGAGGGAGTTATTATTACAGATTACCTCTGAGTGAGATTCAACTGTATTCCTTGACATTTTATGTGTACCATGATTAGCTCTTGACAAGGTTTTTGACAGGTCTTCAGAACTTGAAGAATTTTCATTGGTCTTGGCAAGATCTTTACCAGCCAATGTCTCTTCAGAGACAGCCATGTATTGACTGTCAGGAGAACAGCTAGCCTTCTCAAACTTTAAAGCTTTAGTGAGGCTTTCCGTTTTTTTAGTAGAAATTTTTCCTTCTAGTTGTGTCATAATGTTGTTAGGCACTAAATGAAGTTTGTCATGATTTGTAGACTCTGCTGTGCTGGATTTTGATCGGTCTCTGGTTTGGATCTTGGTAGTCTGACTGTGAGAAGTCAAAGTTTTACTACACTGATGATCACTTTCACTGGACTGTGCTTCATCAGCAGTTCCATCAAATTGTTTAGAAGAACAACAAAAATCAGCCAGATAACCATCTGAAAATTAAAAACAAACATTTTAGTTTGGAGTTATTAAATATCAAAGACAGTAAAATGTAAAGAAGTGCTAAATAGAACAAGCATTCTTAAGTGACTGAGCATTTAAACCCATGAATAAACAGAAGTTATTTGCTCACATTGCCCCTCTCTTGTTTGAAAATGCCTCTAGTATTTACTGCCCATTTATTGGACTACAGTACCTATTCAGAGCCTAAAGTCTTTACTGGCTTTCCCAAAAACATTTGTGGCAACCCAGAGTTCAACTCAGCAGACAGTCCATTCATAAGTTGACAGCACTCAAGGAAAGTGACTTCTGCAACTGTCAGCATTTAAGAATATGACTTTAATGGAATCCTAAGCATATGGTTAAATATTTTGCTGGATCAGGGCCTAATACCTCAGATTTTGATCTAATTAACCAGTGGGCAAATTAGGTATAGTGCACTGTACTCCCAGATAAAGCCAGATACAAGCTGGACAAATTATGTCTGATGGGAAGTTTGAGTGTCTGGAATAGTCTCAGACTTTCCCCTTGACTCTTTCTATCATTGCTCTGAGCCTTATAGGTATTGGCTATTCCAGGATTCTGAAGCTCTTCTCTCCCTACTGAAAGTTTCTGAGTAAATGGGGGATGTGCTGTTTTCTATGACAAATATCTTGTTTAATGGTGATCAGTGTAGCCAAGATGTAACTGTACTATTCTTTTAAAAACATATTATTTATTTGTAGTGAAAGTAAAACATGAAAAATGGATGGTTATAAGAACAGAACTCCAGGGAATACAGCAGGGATTGAGATATATGTGTTCTTGGGTATTGGAAATACATACAAGGAATGTGCACTCATCTTATTAGGACTATGGATTCTGCTTTTTATTTGCTAAGCACTGTATATCATTGTGTTAGAGCTGGGCAGAAAACTCAGTAATTCTGTTTCATGGAGCATTTCTAGATTTTGAAATTTGGTTTCATTCCAGTTCAGAATGAAAACCAAAAATTTTGAAATTGTCTCCCAAATGGAATTACCATTCTCTGCTCAGGTCTACTAGAAATCCTGGCAGGATGACCCAGAGCAAGGGATCCTGGAAACCCCGGCTGCCAAAGAGCCATGAACCTGGGACTCCCATAAACCAGGGCTTCCAGGCCTGGTTTCTTGTAGAATTTTTTTCAAAAATCTCCGTAATATGGCAGAACATTTCTATTTCAACAAATCGGAAAATTCTGACAAAAAGTATTTTACTGATATTTTTCCAAGCATTTCTAAACCCTACTGAGAATTATACTCAAAATAGGCAGTTTGAGTACAAGCTCATTTTCTGTATAATGAATGCATACCAACATTTTGCTGCTCGGCTATATGGCATCAGGATTTAAAGAATACAAAAAACCAATTACACTTAAATTTCTAAAAATTTTCATTAGAATAAAAACCTACTACGTTCAACATGAACAAAAGATACTGAAAAGTGAAATTTTATTACATTTCTGGAGAGTGTTAAATCAACATATGAACAATGAATTAGAAGATAAACTTGTCTGAAGACCTTACACTTACTAAAGGTATGCTAACAGGTAAGTTAGGGATAAGATTGCGTGCTTTACACACAGACCTGAGTAGGAAATGGGGTATAGCTACTCTGAGGGGTAATGCAGAGGGGAGTCGGGGCCATGCCCCAACTCTTCTCTGCCCTCTTCTGAGCAATTTGTTTATCTTGAGGAGGAAGAGACTAGAAGTTCCTGATCACAGGGGCCCTACTGTGATTGGTCCTTACACAAGCTACTCTGGGAAGGAGGACAGAGGGAAGCTTCTTGTGAATCTCCCTTATACTCATGTAAAAGCTGATCATCTAAATTTAGTGCTAAAATATTAAAAATATAAGAACACCCATTTTCGTAACATTTGTTTCCTTATTAAATCAATGTTACATTTCACAGCATCATGCTTGAGAAATACATTTTTACTGCAAAGGAAGAAAAACAGTTTTGTGCAGTGGGATTTTGTTTTGGCTTCTGCTTTATGCTATATATTAACAGTATTATTTCCTGATTTCCCTACTTCTGGTGGAGGATTCCTTGGAAGACTGGACAACTAGCCATATTAGGACAACAATTTGCTTGTACATTATGTTCCTTTCCCCTATCCTCCATATGTTTTGCCTATTTAGACTATAAACGCTTTAAGGTGGGAACCGGTCTTATTCTTTCTGTGAGGCACCTAGCACACTTTAAGCAGTTGGGAAATAATAAGCAGGATTAATAAAGCTAGGAGACTGAAATCTGGGCAAGTGACTGGAGAAGGGATTTTTAGCCACATTGTTCAAAACTCTGTTTCTATTTGAAAACCTTTTAACTCAAACTTGTAAAAGAAGCCCTCTACTCCTTCAACTGAAGGGCAAAAAAAGCTTCCACTCCAGGTATCTAGTCCTACTAATCCTCTGGCAAAAATGGGAAAGAAACAGTTGTATTTCTACGGTAAAAATAAGCAACAAAGCCTTTTTAAAAAATCCTTTAAGCCCTTCTTTATAGATGGTAAAGAAGCAAAAAGAACAATTTTTGTTATTGCTCCTTTGCAGGTCTCCTTTAAATGCTAAATTGATAGCCACTTGCTTCACAAGTTTACATTGTAAGGAGGCCAAGGGACCAAACCACAGACAGGTATCACCTATATTTGCAAAAAACTGAATTTCCCCCCCAAATCTGCCCAATTCTGCTGAGGAGTTTTATTTTTATTTTCTATTCTCCCTCCCTGTTCTTACATTTAATATTACATAACAGAGTAATACGCTAGAAGAGTTATTAACAAAATATCTAAACCCAATTGTCTTTGCTGCTAGACCAGCTTTCTAATAAATCCACAAATTACTGCATGCTGAAGTGAAGGCGGGATCATATATGTTTTACCTGACAGCAATACAAGGACCCATCTCCTACTCCATTAAGTAAGGTTTTTCAAAATAATGCACCAAAGCATTTGCAAGCATCCTAACTGTCTGAATACAATATCTAAAAGAAGATCATTTCATAGAATATTTTATTGTCCAAATATCTGTATTTTACATTCTCTGAATGTCCTTTAAGATGAACAGAGCATCAGGATGCAACAGGAACATATACCTATACTACACAAGTGCATTTGTTGAATATTTCTGGTTGTGTCTGTCAGCAGTGAAATGGTTAACAATGCTGGAATTTAAGTGGTCATTGGGCTCCAAAAATAACACTTCATTAAGAGAATGAGGGAATTCACATTCTCTCAGTATTATTGTATCTGGCTGGCTGCAGACTCAAAGGTCCTGTCCACAGAAGCAACAATGTGATTGCTGCTAACCATACAAGCAACACATGATTGTTGCTAACAGGATTCTTGCATGGTTTTCCACCAGTGCACCCATTATTTTTTCCTGAGAACAACTTTAACCTTACAATGTTTCTTGATGTAAAACATGCCAACTTAGGTTATTGAAGCTGAAGGTCTGATTTCACCATAAGCCATTAATTCTGAAGCAGAAAGAGGAACTGCACTTAAAATCAACAGCTCAGTTTGGCCCCTAATATTTTTAACACCTGGAAGATTATGCAAATAGTTTTCTACTTCACAGTGCTCAAGTTAAACATTTCTTACCAGGATCCACTAGTGCAAGGCGCTTATCCCGGGACAGAGATGCCCTTTCTTCCTGGTTAAACATCCTGTCAATCATGACCATTTCTGCAGAGGGATTTATCCGCTGCAAAAGAGAATTCCTAGAAATCACTTCATATGTTCATATAAAAAAAACAATCCCGCCACAGGATGGATTTTAAATAAAAATTTAGGGTTTTTTTCTTTTTGTATTCCACTAGTATTAACTTTTTTGGGCAGGGACTGTCTTTTATTATGTGTTTGTACAATGCCTAGTATAATGGGGTCCCAATCTTGATTGGGGCCTCCAGGCACTATTGGAATAAAATGCAATCATTTATTATTTTGTAGTTGTTAAAGCTTTGTTTTAACAGTGAATCAATATAATTATACACATAATAATATTTCAAGATGGGTTACATTACTTAACATTGACATATGCAGTTTATTATCTAGCATGAAATAACTTTCTCTGTTAGAAAAAATACTCATGAAGAGCCCATACTGTAGCATTTATCAACACACTTCTGTTTCACACTTTTTTTTTTTTTTTTTTTTTTTTTTAAAGTTAACTCTCTGGTGCTGACAGCTCTGCTGCATCCATTGCTGACAATGAGATTAAACCAGGAAAAACCCATCACCAAGCACTAGAAAATTAACTCATTGCCTGCTACATTACAGCCCATACAATTAAATCCAACACCATGGCACACTATTCCAAATAGCATTTCCTTTCCAATGTTATGGAATCTGAATTACTGTATAATGGTTCAAAATATAAAGGATAGATTTTTTTATATCCACCTATTCTTTTGCATGCACAATTATTTCCCAGTATATTTGATATCAGTCAGATAGCAGTTTAATCAGAGAGTCAGATGCCTAAATTATGTCAACTGTACCTACAATTATTTGTGTCCATAAAACTCAGGATAACATAAAAGACTGTACTGAAACCCACACTATTTTAAAAAGACTTTAAAGCACACCAAGCCTGAAGCAACTATGAGGATGCCCTGATATTCACACAATAGATTCCAACATTATTATTTACATAATTGACAGCAGTTTTTCCTTTTTATAGTACTGTTATACCTGTGTCTGCACTTTTATTGTAAGCCTGTTTTCATATGTTTCTTACTCTCTGGGGAAGTTATAACTGTGCTGTATATTTTGCTATGAAGATGCAGACGACATCTGCCTTACCTTCACTAGGATTTTAACAAGAGTTAGTTTAACACGAATTTAAAACCTTTTTGTTTTTACTAGTGAAGACACGGCCAGATGAGAGCATTTATGCACCTTCTTAACTTTAAGAATGTGAGTAGCAAAGTCAGTGGGACTACTCGCACAGTTAAAATTAGCACATTCTTAAGTGCTTTGCTGTATCAGGCCAAGGTGACTTGTCCAAAGTCACATAGGGTATGTCTACACTGCAATTAGACACTCATGGCTGGCCTGTGCCAGCTGACTCAGGCTTGCACTGCATGGCTGTTTCACTGCAATGTAGACTTCCAGGATCAGGCTGGAGCCTATGCTCTAGGACCCTGCAAGATGGGAGGGTCCCAGAGATCGGGCAGCAGCTCGAGCCTGGAAGTCTACACTGCAATAAAACAGCCCGGCAGCAGAGTCAGCTGGCACAGGCCAGCCATGGGTTTTTAATTGCAGTGTAGACATACCTATACAGAATGTCTATGGCAGAGCTATGAATAAAGTCCAGGTGCATAGTAAAGAGAGTCCTTTCTCCCCACCGTAGCCCCGGGGCAGCTTGCATCCCAAATCCCTCATCCCCGGCACCACCCCAGAGCCCACGCCCCCAGCTGGAGCCCTCAGCCCCCGCACCCCAACCCTCTGCCCCAGCCTTCCGACACTCCGAACACCGCGGCCCCAGCCCCGCCACATGAATTTTATGTGCACCAATATGGAGGTGATGTGTCACACATCACCTCCATATTGGTGCACATGACAAAATTCATTCCGCACATGCGTGGGAACATTAGGAGGGAACACTATCTACAAGTCCAATCAGTCCTACTTCTTGTTCAGCCAATCGTTCAGATGGGGGTCGGCAACCTTCGGTATGCAGCCCATCAGGATAATCTGCTGGCGGGCTGCGAGACATTTTGTTTACGTTCACTGTCCGCAGTGGTAGCCACAAAATAACTTGTGGATACAGAGGGAAGTAATACAACTCTGAGATCACTCTATTCTGGACCATTAAACCTGTTTTAATCCATTCCAATTTGCATTAACTGATCCATACATTTCACAAAAATAATTTTTTTCTTGCTTATAAATCTTACCATTGCATCTTCTATGAGCAAACATCTGTACTTATTTAGCATAGCTTGTGTCCTTTTCAGAAGCTGCGTGGCTACAGATTCAAATTCACTGTCCACTAAAAAGACACAAAGAATACATTTAGATAATGTTCTCCAATAACTAGCACAGACTCGCAAAAGTGTCCTTTCTTTTTAGTCTTTCTAATTTACACAATCAATTTTTTCAGCACCCCATGTAATATTAACTGCTTAAAAATTCTAATAAACAGCAGCACAACTTTTATCATACCAAATTAAAACATAAATTACCTTTTCTTAAATCCTCCTTGGTTGGCAGTGATCCCTGGCACACATGATATGAGAGGAGTCTCTGGACTGCATCATTTAACGATCTGAATTGACTTTTATCTGGTGTCACAGCATGTGCCTGGTCCTTCTGTAACTGCTGTAGAATACTAAAAAGAAAATGACTAATATCAATAATTAACATTTATTGTAATACCGTAAGGCTATATTACAGTTTACAAACTGACAGAGTGAGAGAGGCAGAGGTTAGTAGAAATGTCTCTAACAAAACTACAAATGAAAAACAAAATGACTTACAAAGCTCCTTTTGTTAGCTGTTTAGCAGCAGGCCTCTTTTGTCCAACTGTATGAACATCCACCTAGGACCAAACCAAAACTCAATTACATTGGCATTATCTTTTCCTTTAGAAAAAATAAGTTATAGAATTTCCTTGCGCAAACTGCTCATTAAGTATAAAATACTTTCAATTGCCTCTCATTTATTTTCTGTAAGCTTCTGTATCAATGAAAACAGATTACTTGAAGTCTTTGCCATAAATGTGAGCTACCATAAATGACTCCTGCTTTGCTCATGAATGAAGTAAGCAATGGGGAAAACGACATATCTCATCTTACACAGCCCCCCAAAAAGAAACCTACCACATAGGTAGTAAACAACAATGCTAACAATTGAGTCCCACTACATAAAGAATAAAATATGCAATGGAGTAACTAGGGGGTGTAGCCTTAGAGCACTTTGCTGATCGACTAGATATCAAGAGCAGAGCGCACAGTATTGAATTAGCAGACATACCTTCAGATTGCTATATTGATTCATTCATATTTAGAAAATAGGAAAAGGTTCTGTTTTTAAAAGCTTTTAAAACTTTAAAGAGGCTCCTGGAATATCTCTAAGGGGTTGGAAGACATTCCTCTTTCCTTCCTCCCACCAAAACAAACTTTTGGAAGATTAATGATTGTGTTTAGGGTAGGGATCAATGAGAATAACATGTAGGAAATTATTAATTAGTATTTCTACACTGTTCCTGGTTCCTTATCTTCATTAAAATTAAGAAAAACAAATTAACTGAAAAATGCTCCCTACCTGCACATTTTGTTGGATAGGAGATGATCCTACTACTTTTTCCTGCTGTGACTGTGTTGTTCCTAAAGATTGCTGGATGATTTTACCTCCAGAATCCTGTCCTATAAAAGTACACATTAAAAAGAGTCTATTACTCATGATTCTTAAAGCAAACCACCACATAATATTTGAAGTCCTGTGCTTAATCCTTTACTTGATCTGAAAATTACATATCGATAGATGTTGATACATAACAGTGTGTATAGGAGTATTGCTACTGCAGTCATGTAAGGAAATCAATACATATAGTAAAATGGTACTCAGATACTACAGTGTTGAAAACTATAAACATGTTTATAAATAAAGAAAATCAGTCTAAAATCTCTAAACACATCAATCCAAAATAAGAAAAAAAATCAAATATCTTAAGCATCATCCTGAAAGAGATTTGAAAAAAGATAAATTGGAGTCTATCCAGCTTTTTACTAATAGTTCCCCAAAATTATAAACTCAAGAGTCTGCAGCACCATTAAAAGTTGTGAATGAGTGGCTAGATCACACACTGTTGTAGATTCAGATGGGTAGCCTCCCACCTGATTGTCTGGCTGTATAATTAAGAGGAATCATCTCAGCCCAACACACTCACCACATGTAACACAAATAGTACTGTTACTTTTTGCACAGAAACATTGTGTAGAACATGTACAATCATTGTAATATATTAAATCAAAATGGAACTAGAAGTCTAGTGACATTTCCTGTTGACTTAAGTCTATATTAGAAACTTTAAAATTGTAATTAGGATGGTGCCATTTCAAGAACCCACATAATATCTTCTCATGTTCAGTGCATCACTACCTTAACTGAAAACTGATATTTACATTCTCTTTGCAAAACAATAACTGCTGATTAGATTCCACAACATCTTGTACCAGGAAAGACAAAATGGTGAGAAGTTAAGAGTTGTTATCACATGAGGATGGCTGGAAGTCTCAAAGACATAACTGGAATTCTGCAGCAGAAGACCTTGGTTTGAAAGTGACTTGATATTTCTCACTTCCTTTGCTTAAACACATCACACAGATGACACATTTGGATTGTGGGAAAAGATTCTTGACTGCTCATTGTCTATCATTCCAGCAAATAGAATCAGATGGCTACTAACAATTCTTGTTGGAAAAAGACCATATGACCAATTGCTAAAGAGAAAGTCTGTGGGCTCAGCACCATTGTTCCTCAAATGGAAAAAAAAAATAATCATTAGGACCCCCTATCGCCACCAATCATCAGTCAGCGCCTGACATAATGAAGGAGAACCCACTTCAGATGCCAGAGGGATTGGGGAAAACCATCATGAAAAGACTTTATCTGACCTGGCAACGTGTTACTCAGAAGACCTGTTAGCTGAGGTTGTCTCAAGCTATCCTGTGACTTTGATGCAGAAACTGGTGAGGACTGGTTCATAACTTTTTTCTGGGCCTGTGAAAATGCCATAGGGAAATAAAGGTTAGTCTAGTAATCACTGCAAGTTTTAACAGACCTAATAACAATGCAAAAAGGAAACCTACAACTGAGCTCAACTCTTTCCCCCTTTGTGATTATGTAAGAATGGCATCAAAGAAACAAAATGAGAACAAAAACTAAACTTTCACTACATACTCACTTCTTCTGAGGAGATTTCTTATTAAATTATATTTTCTCTATATAGGCCACTTTCCTTCAAAGAACTCCCCCTCCAAATCTAAATCTTCTAAAACAGTTCATCATCTGCAAGGTTAACTGTGCCATGATAGCAGTAAGTCTAGTTTTACTTTCCCTCAATACCAACACAATGACCCCCACACCTAGAAATTTTAAGAGAGAAACTCAATGCAATCATGTTAATAAATTTAAATCTCAGATGAGCGGGCACACAAAGCATCTAATAGCTGTTGTGTGGTATTTTAATGAAATCTGGAATCCCAAACATGAAAAATAACCATGTTGTGCTGACTGGTTGGAAATTAACTATTTCCCTACACTCCCTTCTCTTCTATACTTTGTGTTCTGACATATAAATAATCAGATCTTATACAACACTGTGCCAGTCAGTCCTCAAAAGTACAAAGAGTACTGATGTGTAACACATTTCCTGTGTAATTACTGGCTCTTATTTGTCCTATCAGCTAATAGAACTGGCAGCATTAGAATGTTGAAAAGTTCTGGGAGGCCCTTCTGCAGAAAAGGAAGGAAATCTTCAAGACTATTGTACCATGTCCCCATAAAACAGAAAAAGACTATCCATCCCTACCCATCCTAATAAGTGCCTTCAGTACAGGTTTTATAAATGCCACTGTCCTAAATATACAAATTTGAAGAGTTGCATGAGAGTACAACGCCAAGGAAGAAGACCAAGTATGGAAAGTCAGCATTTGTGAGATAACTAAGTAACCCTTTTTTCCTCTGGAAGTCATATCTGCATATTCTTAACTTGTGAGGGTCTCTCAAGCTGTACAAGGATCCTTGTCCAGAGAGTGGTACACTACCAAGCACTGACTAATTAATTAAAATTAAAAATATGGCTGCGAGCATAGAAAAAAGCTAGAGCTAATCATGGACAAGAACTGAGGTACCGGGGGCCAAACAGTCCTTTTATGACTCAGAATTTTCAGTGCCAACAAGAGGGCACTTCTGTGACTCCAATGGACACTGCTTTTCAAAACTTCCCAAAGCTCCCGTCCCACAAGTGAGGAAGTACAGAGGACACCTCAAAGAAGAACAGGTAACTAGGCCAATTTATTATGCTTAAGGAAAATACAAAATAACTGTAGCTGATTTCAGAAGTGGTGTAAATTCCCACTGTTGATCACGTGACACTAGTCATTCACTTACTGCCCCAACAACACAAATCAATCCAGCTTGTTTCCCCCTTCCCAAAACACATATGCAGTTTCTGATTCAGAGTTACACAGAATATCACTATTTTAATTTTACTGATCACTTACTAAAGAAGGCATATTTATAAGGCTTCTCTTTCACAACTGATTATATGAGAATTTTTTCTCTCCAAAGAGCTCCATAAAATTAAGCTCTTTGTAACTCTTTCAATGGTTTACAGAAGAGTGTGTCTCTGCCCCAAACTTCAAAACTGAAAATCCAAACTGATTGAGACATTTAAAGCCATACTGAACAGAGTACTAAATAAAATATGCTGCAGGGAATAATCCTGTGCTGGCAGAGAAATGGCCTAGAGCACCATATACCCTTTTCCATCTCCAATTTCTGTGGGCCAAATACTGAGAGGACCTTCGCATGCGTAACTCTCATTGAAGTCAGAATAATCTTCAGGTACTTAGCACATGCCAGAGTTTTGCCTTATGACTCTAACAGTGTGATTTTCAAAAGTGCTGACTTGGCATAGTTCTGCTCCCACTGAAATCAAAGGTAAAACTTCTATTGATTTTACTGGAAGCAGAAATAGGCCCACACTGAACACTTTTAAAAATTTCACCACTAATCAACAAAAGCAAGAATATCTGAATTAATGGGAATGATAGATTCATTCACATTATAGAAACATTTGAAGAAGTTTTTTGATTAAATGGTTGCAGCAGGATTAGATACTTTTTCAGTAGATCAACAATATTTGTTTATAAAACAATTACCGTAAGCATAATAAATTATTTGTGAATATTTTTGGAGAATACAGTATTAAAGGACATTATCTATTAACGTCCTTCCCCGCCAAAGAAAAAGGAAATGATTTAGAATGCTTTTGTGCAGTTTTGTTGGTACTTAAAGGGTATTCATACCTGAGCAAAAGTGAACTGTTGCTGTGTTACTCCTACTGATGTGCGACTGAAAGTGCTGATAGATTTAGAAGAGGAAACTGGAAGACAATGTGATACACTCACTGAAACTTGTGTTCTATTCTGCTGTGTAAGTTGATCTCCAGTAAAATTTCCTCCTGATGCAACAGACTGAACTGGTGGCCCCAGGCTGGGATGTACTGTGCCAGAAGAACTTACAACAGTAAACCGATTAGATGCTGACATATTTGAGACTGTAGACTGTCCAGGTGACATTGTAGTAAAACCTGATCTACCTTGAGAAACACTACTTTGACTGGGTGATAAATGCAACACTGTTGGTGATGCCTGTTGTAATGGCACCTGTCCACCAACAATTTGAGAAGTTCCATGATTTACTATAACTTGACTTCCAGGAGCTGTGAATGTCTGACCAGAAACTAATTGAACAGCTGTATTCTGATTATTCAGCATCTGTCCTGAATATGAATGGTTGGCCCTGAGCATGCTTGTAGAGTTCCTGTTCAGCATAACATGCTCAGCAGATACTTGGCTAGAAACCAACTGGGAGGGTTGCGTCTGAAGAAGTTGTCCATTTATGGTCTGGACATGATGAACCGAATTAGAATTGACAGAGAGACTTGTAGGTATGAGAAACTGATTTTGAGATACATGAGGCTGTCCCATAGGAGAATGGATAACAATACTACCGCCAGCATTACTAACTGTTTGAGGAGTAACTGATTTTCTTGTGTTTTGTTGATTAACAATATTAACAGACATATGAGGACCAACTGAATTTTGAGGTGAACTTGCTGAAGCAAAAGGAATCCCTTGTTGTACGTGATGCTGCTGTATTCCCAAGTTATTCACATTGTAAGCTGTTTGCTGACCCATCTGAATAGGCTTTGGTTGGATATTAATTGGAACTTTATTAGAATTTGGTGCTAGACCCCTCTGAATAATGATATTATGCACAGGTAAAGATGTCTGAAAATTTGTGCTGTTAAATGGGACAGTTACAGGTTGTGCTACTGGACTTGAATTTGAGTTACCAAACAGTGAGTTACCATTAGGAGTTTGTCTATGAACCAAGAGTCCGCTACTCATGTTTGCAGGTGCTTGCTGTCCACTGCCTTTCAATATAATCTGAGATCCATCAAGGTTGTTAATAGTCATCATGGAAGGTTGATTACTAAATGAACCAATTAGCTGTATCTGCCCTGAACCACTAATCTGACTACTATTAGACAAATGCTGGCTGGGAACACTAATTCCCACATGTTGCATAAAGCCATGTTGCACACCAACTGTATTGCTTGCAAAAGATGCTCCAACTGGTTGCTGTACCACTTGAGTAACTCCTATAGGTTGCAGCGTCTGACCTGAGTAATTAGACACATTAGAAGCCTGAGTAAAGGATGCTGATGAAGAAGGATGAAGCTGAGCTTGTGCAAACTGTTGGCTAGAACCTATACTGGCATCCAGATATGCCTCTTCTGCCAAAGTCTGTTCAGTAATATTGGCCTCCTGCAAGGACTTCTGAAGAATATCAAAAGGCTGATCCTCACTGAGATCAGGTAAGGGAGAAGATTCAAGTTCATCTTCAAGAAACTGAAGGCTACTTGACAGTTGTAGTCCATCACTAGGCCCCTCTCCAAGCTGATTGCTTACACCTTTGATGGAGGATTTAGGATCAGTGTTCTAAAATGAAAAACAATAAATGAATTAAATTGCATTTTTAAAATAATGTAAGATACAAACTGTTTCCAATTAAATTTTTCCCTGCAAAGAACAAAGCTCCTCTATAATACCACATCCTTGTAGCTACATATGCAAGGTGAAGTTCAACCCGTGCATAGGGCCAGCACAAAGCCCTTGTACCACTTTTGCCCTCAAAACAGACTGCTGGGTCAGTACTGCTAAGGTGCAAAATTCAAATCTCAACCCACTCAAAGCCAAATTCCAAAGTCTTCCAAAACCCAATTCCTTTTTGGCCCATGATAAATGCAAGGTCTGGGTGTGAAATTCAGAACCAGTTTCAGATTCTGAACTCTACCTCACCCTTCAAGGGTAGGGAATTTTTGGCTTTGGATGTTTCACATAAACATTGTGAAAACTGCTGCATGACACGGCTGTCATATTGGAAAACTCTCAGACCTCTACCTTCAACGTTTGCTTTCGTCCCCCTTTCATTGATTGCCACACTACTCCATGAGTATAATTTATTTATTCAATTCACGTTTGTGTCTGCCTTTTACTGAATCTAGCTTATTTTATGAAAGCATCTCTGTCACTTTGGAATATTGAGGGATAGTTTTTGCTATTTTATTAAAGGTTTTCAAAAAAGTAACAGAAACCTTGCAATTTTACCTGTAAAACTATAATATACAGTACATGCATGAAAACACAAGGATTAAATCTAGCACAAATACTTTATCAGCACTTCAGAAACACCTAAGATTAAGGGGCCAGATTCTCTGCAGTGTGCACCTTCTATTAGGTACTGCAGAAGGGGGGCTAATTGAAACCTGGTTACATCTCCCAGATTCTCTGTCCACATGAGAACAGCCTGGTGTCTGCTCTAACATGTGCCAGCTGACTATGCTACCCAAGGGACCATCCACCATCTGGGAATTGTGCTCTGGCCACTCCCTGTCCATGTGCGGGGAGTCAGGTCATTGTGGAGCGCTCCACCCTAGGAAAAGGCAGTGGTGGCAGCTGAGGGTATAGGAGAGGCTGAAAATAGAGCTCAGTGACATGGGCTAGCATTAGAAAAAATGGGTATAAAATGGCTTTGAACAAATTCAGGCTGAAGATCAGAAGACTGTTTCTAACCATCAGAGGAGTGAGGTTCAGGAACAGCCTCCCAATAGGAGCTGTGGGGACAAACAACTTAATTAGTTTTAAGAGAAAACTGGACCAATTTATGCGTGGGATGTATGACATGATTGTGATGGTGGGGGGCCGGGCTCAGCAACCCTGAGAATGCCTTCTGGTTCATGTCAGGTATTCTTAAAAGCTCATGCATCAGCTGTCACCTGTAGGGGTCATCAAGGGATTTTTTCCCGAATGTATTCTGGTGTTGGTTTGGGTGTTGTGATATTGGTTTTTGTGGGTTTTTTGTTTTGCTTTTTTGTCTCCTTTGAAGCATCACAGATGGCCATAGCTGGAGATGGGACCCTGGATGGGACTCTGGGTGTTACTGAGAATTCTCTCTCTCAGGTGGCTGGCTGGCTTGTTCTTGCTCACATACTCAGGGGCTGGTTGCCCTATGTGGGGTCAGGAAGGAATTTTTCCACAGGTCATACTGACATTGACCTTGGGGATTCTTCACCATCCTCTGTGGTACGAGTGCACAGTCAGGTCCATGTGGGTGTATTTCACTTAATATCCTGACACTGAAGGGTTCTTTGGTACTGCTGCACCTCAGTCCCTCCTACTCTCTGCTGGTGGTTTATAATAGTTTAGTTTCCTGTGGGCTGTAACACCTTGGTCTAATTTCAGCTGTTGGGCTTAATGTGCATGTGTTGGTGGCCTGTGATACACAGGTCAGACTAGATTGATCTGGTGGTCACTCCTGGCCTTAAATCATATTACTCTAAATGTGAGTAAGGGAAGAATGCAGGATACTGCCTCACGAACCTACAGCCAAAAGCCCTCTGCCCCAGCTCCCACTGCCCTCACAAACATGTCAGGCTGTAGCAGGCTCTCTGCCTCTCCCAAAGCCCCTAAAGGATCACGCCTCCCCCCAAACAATCCCATTGCCCTCAGCAACACCCACCTTCCCCAGCGTCTCTTGCCTCCCCTTAATACCCTGTTTCCTATGGGCACCCCCAAAGTCTCCAGTTTCTGAGACATGCAGGAAATAGGCTCCTGCTTCCCCCACTCCTGCTAATCAGCAGGACCCAAGGGAGCAACTAGTGACTGTCCCAGGAAAGAAATGTCACATGTTGCCCACTTCTCCCATGAGCACCTTCCTGCTTTCTCTCTGACATGTGGGGAAGAGATCCTAGTCAAAATCCACAAAGCCACAACTTTACTCTCCTTCATGTGCCTCCTTATAACTCACCTCTATCATGATGTATACAGGGAACTGCTGTCTAATAATGGCTAGACAGGTGGCAAATTGTGATCATTGTTCCTGGCTAGCTGAAAATTGTGCACATCCTAAAACCATTTTCCCCACTTTCATCCAACCACCGTGTTTGTCTTTTCCTCCTGTCCACCTTTGTCTTTTAGACTGTAAGCTGTTTGGAGTAGGGAATAATGTCATTTGCTACATGTTTGGACTGCAATATAAAATGTTAATAAATAAAATAAATAAATAATAAAGGGAGTGGATGAGGGCAGTCAATTTGCCTCTATAAAAACTGCAACTACAAAGAAGTTACAGGTGCTTTAAACATACATTCACAGTTTTCAGTGTCTAGATGTGCCTATTTTATGACAGCTATTAACATTATTAACATCTACTCCATTTAGTTGTATACAGGACAAACCAACCATGATGAAAGCATGTAATCACAATAAATCCACATTTTCTCTTCTAAATACTTACATTGGAGTTGGCGAAAATTGAATTAGAATTGGCTGCAGAGTACCCTGCATTAGTCAAGTCTTCATTGCTCTGTTAAGGCACAAATGTAGTAAAGTAACATTAAACTAATAGTAAAGCAGTCACTAAAGTTCATGTAATTTTAGAATAGTATAGTAGAATACAACTTACAGATTTACTACTAGGTCCATGTAGAAAATAATTCAGTGCCTGTGGATCTCTTTAAAAAGAAACAAAAAAAAGTTATCACTTTTAAGTACTTACATTTGTTAAAAAAGCATAATTAAGACAAAAAACAATAAAAACCTGGAGCCAGGTGCTCCGTTCAAGTAAATCAGTGTAGCTCCACTGACTTCAATAGAGCTATGCCAATTTACATCAGCTGAGGATCTATCTTTTTTGTTTTCAGCAAACCATGTTAATATGTAAATTTATATTCTTCACTTTTTTTTTTTTTTTTTTTTTAAAGGGGCTTCCTCAAAGACAGGAATTCTCATCATTACATTTCAGAATTTCAGGAGTTTACAACTATTCATTACTACAAAAAAAAATCTAAATATCACTTTACATGTTTACTTCCATTCTATAGGCCACTACCTATTACACCATGTGTTAAAATAAATACCCAATATTCTATAACACAACAGACTTTGCATTAAATGGACAAACAATGGTATTAGTTCAAGAAACGTAAGCACTAAAATAGGAATAATCTCCTCTAATGAGCTCTATTGCCTGCAAATTGGTTAGTGTCCTGATAAAGAGCTACCATATTTAATAAATAAATAAAAACTAAATATTTAAGATGTTTTCTTGCCAATATATTCATAAAAAAGAAAATTTTCTCAAGAACAATAACATTATCTTCTCTGGGGTGGGGGGAGTTATATCTTTTCCAAATGAAATCAACTGTATAACTGACTAAATGCATTTTTCCTTTGATAACTTGATAAGAAAAGACATACTGGGTCAAATCGAAGGTCCATCTAGCCCAATATCCTGTCTTCCGACAGTGGCAAATGCCAGGTGCTCCAGAAGGAATTAACAGAACAGGTAATCATCAAGTGATGCATCCCCTGTCGCCCATTCTCAGCTTCTGGCAAACAGAGGCTAGGGACACCATCCCTGCCCATAATAGCCATTGATGGACCTATCCTCCATGAATTTATCTAGTTCTTTTTTGAACCCTGTTATAGTCTTGACCTTCACAACATCCTCTGGCAAGGAGTTCCACAGGTTGAATGTGTTATGTGAAAAAATAATTCCTTTTGTTTGTTTTAAACCTGCTGCCTGTTAATTTCATTTGGTGAACCCTAGTTCATGTTTTATGAGGAGTAAATAACACTCCTTATTTACTTTCTCCACACCAGTCATGATTTTATAGACCTCTATCATATCCCCCCTTACTCATCTCTTTTCCAAGATGAAAAGTCCCAGTTTTATTAATCTCTCCTCATATGGAAGCCATTCCATACCCCTAATCATTTTTGTTGCCCTTTTCTGAACCTTTTCCAATTCCAATATATCTTTTTTGAGATGGGGTGCCACATCTGCATGCATTTAAGATGTGGGTATACCATGGATTTATTTAGAGGCAATATGGTATTTTCTGTCTTACTATCTATCGCTTTCTTAATGATTCCCAACATTCTGTTGGCTTTTTTGACTGCCATGCACATTGAGTCGATGTTTTCAGACAATTATCCACAATGACACCAAGATCTCTTTCTTGAGTGATAACAGCTAATTTAGACCCCATCATTTTATATGTATAGTTGGGATTATGTTTTCCAATGTGCATTACTTTGCATTTGTCAACATTGAATTCCATTTGCCATTTTGTTGCCCAGTCACCCAGTTTTGTGAGATCCTTTTGTAACTCTTCGCAGTCTGCTTGGGACTTAACTATCTCGAGCAATTTTGTATCATCTGCAAATTTTGCCACCTCACTTGTTTACCCCTTTTTCCAGATCATTTATGAATATGTAGAATAGGACTGGTCCCATTACAGCCCCTGGGGGACACCACTATTTACCTCTCTCCATTCTGAAAACTGACCATTTATTCCTACCCTTTGTTTCCTATCTTTTAACCAGTTACCCTCCCATGACAGCTTACTTTGCTTAAGAGCCTTCAAGATACTCTTTTATTGAACAAAATATTGATACACAATTAAAAAAAGAAGTGCAGCTAGATGAATTAAGTATTTTCAGTTCAAATGTACTAAAAAATACACATATTCATGCAATGCAAATCTGGTGGTAAAAATTCTCAATGTATGCATACATTGACTAAGTATGTATGTGACTAAGTTACAGCGATTACTTTGTAGTTATTGCTAAATATAGCAATTATACAATTATTTTCTTGACACACCCATTAATGTACACATTCAATTCAAAAAGTTACATGAACTCTTTGATTTAACAGAAATAATCTTTATTTGTAAATAGTACTAATAAAACATTTTGAAAAACATTTTTATGGATCTCCCCAATAAACACCAGGGTCAATCTGAAAATTTCCCTCTTCTTTCTTGATCATCCTAAAAGAAAAACAGAAAACAAAATAAAGACAGCTCAAGTTTCCGTATAAGTTTCTAGCATAAGCTCACAAACACCAAGAAAATCATGCTGCTACTATACAAATGCCCTAAACCCTTTTGGTTCAGCCAGTTGTACTCTGTGCCTCTAGAATAGTGCTTTAGTTTAGTGTGAGAACATTTTCATGGTATTGGATATCGGATTCATTCCTACTCAGCTAATTGTCATATCTATTTAAATCAAGCCTAATTAGCTAGAATAAATAACTACAGTTCGCTTTTAATTAAACTAGATTGAAAATAGGGGGAAAAAACCTGAATATTTTTCAAAATCTTCATAAAGTACATTCCAGTTCAAACTCCGTTGCAATAATAAGACTAAATAGTGATTTTTAACTGTAAAGTACAGAGCTAATCTTAGAATGGACCTAATTTGTTTCCTGCCACTTGTTCTCCTAATAAGATGGTAAGCTTTTGCTTACTAGCTAGTTACACTAACTAATGAAATGCCTTTTATACTTATTTTAATTTAAATGGGAATTTTTTTTCAAAAAAAGGAGAGAGCTGGAAACCTAATTCCTGTATAAAGTTAATATTAATGAATATAGTATAGCATGGGGCTCTGTAATCTAGCTGAAAAAGGTGATAATGAGTTCCAATGACTGGAAGTGGAAAATGGGAAATTCAGGCGAGAAATAAGGTGTACATTTTTAACAGTGAGGGTAATTAACTATTGGAACAACACTGCTAGGGACTTGGTGGATTTTCCCATCACCTGAAGTCTTTAAATTAAGACTCGATACATTTCTAAAAGCTATGTTGTAGCTCAAACAGAAGTTATATTATACACATTTTAAACATACTGCATGATATACATGACACTCAGTTAACATCTAGGCATCTAAGATCAGATTCTACTCACACACACTACAACCTTCACACACTATACTTTTAAAAGAAATCTCATTTTCAGTACAGATTACAGAAAATTAAAAGGATAAGGGGGAAAGGCTTCACTGTCTCATTCATACATGGACGCGTTGGGTTTATGGGGTTTTGCTGATACATAACCAAGACCTTTACTATCAATACTGCTTACCAGCTTTTATGATCATGACAAATTTAAATGTTGATGTTTTATCATCATCCTAGCTAACCACCCTATCTTATAACTTTTATTATTTCTAAAAATAAATCCATAAAGATTAGAAGACACTTACCAAACTGAAAGATTTAATGGAGACAAACTTCAGTTTTTCTGTCCTGCCAGATGCTCTGAATGATAGCTGATACAAGCAGTAAAAAGGGACACTACAACAAATAATGCATTACACCCAACACCCTCCTATTTGTAGGACCTCATCTTCTGAACATTCTGTGGACTTGGACTGGAATTCTTGTAACTTGGCTTATTATTGAGCGCTTTCATTTTTGTTTCCATTTGGACAATTCTTAAGCTGATGCTCCAGGCAGGACGTAAATATGTTCCCTTTGGTGGCTGAAGTCAGCAGTCTCATATTATAACAACACTGTACATGACGACTGTTAGGCAACACTACCAACAATTTGTTATTTGGTAGGCTATTCACATACTAATCTGATCTAATTATAGTGATTATTGGGCCTGATACTTCATTCCTTTTGCATTCAAGGCTCTCACTGGTTTCAGTGGAAGTTTTGGGTGCATAAGCAATGCAAGATAAAGCTCACTGTTCGCTATACTTGACATATGTGGATAGATTTGTCTTCTTGACTTCATCTACAGCTAGAACCATGCAGGAAAACTTTCCTATTGCGGTGACTAGCATAACATTTGAAAAAAAATTCAGTCTGAAAAAAGTAATAGATACTGGATATTCAATATGTTCTACACATTTTGGACATACACCTCTACCCTGATATAACGCGACCCCATATAACACGAATTCTGATATAAAGCAGTGCTCCAGGGGGGCGGAGCTGCGCACTCCGGCGGATCAAAGCAAGTTCGATATAACGCGGTTTCACCTATAACGCGGTAAGATTTTTTGGCTCCAAGGACAGAGTTATATCAAGGTAGAGGTGTATTACGATAAATGTCTGCTCTTGAAGAACTGTATCGATATTTTGGCCAGTCAAGGGAAAAGGACTTCACCATGCCTACAGTAAATATACCTCAATTCCACATAAAGCTTTTCTTGGTTGCAACTGTACCTAAATATTGATTTTTCAATCCCATATAGAATACACATCAATTTCCATGTAAAAGTGGTATAGAATGGAATAGAAATAATGCAAAGTAAGAAGACTGTGGTTTTGGTTGGTTGGTTTGGGGGGGGGGGGTTTTTTTTTTTTTTTTTTTACACAAATAGGGATTTAAAATAAAAATGCCTTTGAATGGACAAAAGTTGATAACCTTTAAAATTCCTGATTGTTTGTCATTCTTTATAATACCAGTAGCAATTCAACTCTTATAAAATTGGTACACAAATGCATTTTATCTTCTGTAAAAATAATTTAGGTAGCTTGTATTTTGAAACAGTCTATATATTTTAATTATATTTTCATTTAGAAGGTAATGTTTGTGAAGGTGCTATACTGACAGCCCTGAAGGCTAAAATCCTTTATCTAGCCAAAAAAGAGGTATTTCCTTTGCATCAATAGTGTAGGGCAGGTTTCCCTGTTTGCTAATGTGCCTCAGCACTGACCTGACAGGACCATCATTGGGCAAGAGGGGAAGTCAGTGTCATGCCAAAAACCAGTGGACTACCAATTAGCATAAACTCTGATTGTGACTATCTGTTCATTTCACTTACAGGCCTCCAAACTATCACATGACACCAACTTTCAGAGACTACTGAAAATTAATCATCTTTTATATGGATTAATTTTGTACAATGATTTTTGCATAGATTTTTCTTTTAAGAATTTCTTAAGGGGAACTTACCCAATAAGATCAAGGAGACAGGACTCATCGTCGTCATCATCCATGACAACTAAAGCAAAAAAGGAAATGACTCGTATTTCATCAAAATCAGAGAAAAAATTTCCTTCAACAATAAAACAATTTCAAAGCATATCAATTTTTTTCAATAAACAATTTGTGGGAATTGTGTGATATTTACTCTGGGCCACATTCTTAGATGAACTTGTACAACTGCCACTAAAGTTAATACGAGTCCTGAAGCTAATGTGAGTCCTTCACTCTTATCTGAGTGCAGAATTTAGCCTCGTGTATCTATCTGTGTAAACATAATGCAGTAATTTAATCCTGTCATTCTGTGGTTCTTTTAAAAATGGAGGAAGACAATGGCCTGACCAAACTGACCAATTGGACCACTTTGTAGATGAAAAAATGTTAATTATAGACTCATGTTTCTCTCACAGTAAAATACGTTTCCGGGAATTTTTGTTTTCAGTAACAGCTCACCCATCAGGGAACAAATGAGCGTTGCAAAACCTGGAACATTGGGGACTACTAAGCATGGTGTTTTGTTACTCACAATACAATAAGGTGAAGTAATCTGAGGGGAGTAGGAACCACAGCCCAGTGGCCTGGAAAGAACACTATATGCCCAACCTAAGTCATAAGGCACTGAGCAGCTGGCTAGGAAGGATGCTGTTTTCTCAGAACCCTTTAACACACATTTGTGTCAGTGGCTGGCCCTTAAAGATAGGCCCATTCTTAGTTTCTTCTAAGTGACACTCATAAGCATACTTCAGTAAGCTCCTGGTAATAGAAGTAGTTACTGAAAATCCTAAAAAAATATCTGCTACACACATCACTTGCATTAACTGGATTGTATTTAATCACTTGTGCACTAGTTACACCCTATCTCTACTTCCAAACCATCATGGCCATCTTCTCCCCTACTCATTGCTTGTTCAGTTTTGTATGGATGTTCTTCTGCATTTATAATGTTGATCGCTTTCTCCTCTGCTTGCTCTGCTCTTTAGGCTTCTGAGATTGTAGGATTCTGGTTCTCCTACCACAATAACCACCATCATCTCATTTGACTGCTCTATCTCCTTTGCCCTTTTCCACTCCATTGATACCCATTAAGGTTCTATCCTTACACTGCCTCTCTCGCCCTCCTTTACTCTCTCTTTAGGTGACCTCATCTGCTCTCACTATTTAAGATACAAACTCTATGCTGGCATTTCCCAAATCTATCTCCATAACCCTGACCTCCCATCCAACTATCCACTCTCACGTCTCCAAATGCCTTTATATCATCTCCTCAGGAGTGTCTTGCAACCACCTCAAATTTAACATGTCCAAAATGAAATTTTTTAGTAATCTCTCTCAATTTCCTCTGTTCTCTACCTTGCTGACAACTCCACTATCTCCCCTATCACCTGGACTCGCATACAAGGTGTTATCCAAAATGGGTTTGGGGGGGATATGCAGCGTGCATGCAGCCCTTCTATAGTCCAGAGCCCCACTCAGTAAGGATTCCCTCTGCATTAGTTTGCAGAAGCAGGGGAGGGGTGGCCCACCACTGTGTGGATCCTTCAGTGCTCACTCCTGTTGGGTGCAGGAGGGGAGGGGGACAAGTTGAGCCTACAGAGAGCTATTTCAACTACTGGTCTAAAGTAGCATCCATGGAGTGACTCTGCACCCTAGGAAAGAGAATTCTTTCCCCTATGGACTAGCCCCTCTACTCAATGCCAAATCCAGCTATTCAGTATGGATGCTGGGCTGAGGATTTAAACCACAATGACTTACAACATAAACACTATTTTATTATGTCACTGCACTCTGTAAATATGTACTATTAAGAATAAATGTTTAGCCTAGAGCTTTCTTTAACTCTATTCCTAGTAGTGTTTATAGTATGTTGTTCTTTCCTTTGTTCTAACAGCAGAATTTTGAGTCCACGCATGGAGTATTGCTTCAGTGGTGGGATTTTCTAAGGGCTTGTCTACACATACCCTATTACAGTGGCACAGCTGCAGGCCGCTATAACGCTTCACTGTAGACACTCACTACAGTGACAGGAGAGGTTCCCCCATTGCTGTAGTTAATCCATCTGCCCTAGAGGCAGTAGCTAGATTGACGGAAGAATTCTTCCATCAACCTAGCCCTGTCTATACCGAGGTTTAGTTCGGCATAGTTTCACACTCCTGAGACACGTCACCATGCTGATATAAGTTTTCGGTGTAGACCAGCCCTCATATGCACAAGTCTCACTGAAAATCAATAAAATTTGTGCTGCATTACATTGGTGCTTTTGAAAACCCCACCCCAAAAACACAATGGCAGTATATTTTCTTATGTAAAAAAAGTTCTGTGGCTACTTCACGGGACACTACTGTGCAACCAACTGCTGATAAACAACTGAACTTGAGAAGAAGCCAAAATAAAGATGGAAATGTTTTACCAAATGGACCATAAAATCTGTTGTGACAAAGTAATAAAGGTTATAGATTTTAAGAAAAAAGAAATAAAAGTCTAAGTAACAATGCAGAAGTTTTGCTCAGCTTCAGTATTTACATGTGCATCAAACCAATAAAAACAAATAAGCTGAATTTGACAGTAAAAGCTCAATCATTTGTCAAAATCTGCAAATTATATTTAAAAAAGAAAAGGTATGACTGAATGAAAATGCATAATAAATTAAAATTTCAGTGGTAATTCATATTCTTCTTTACCATCTTTACACTTTATAAAATCTTGACACTAAAGACTTTTTTGATTAATTCAAAATGAAAAATATCTACCAATATGTTTTTCTTCATTCTGCAAGTCTCAAGTTCTATTAAAATCTACCCAACATACTGTTAACAATACAAAAGAAAGATACATATACTGTACATTTTAGCAAGCAGCCAAGATCAAGGGCAGCCATGATTAGCAAGGTCCCAAACAAAAGCACGCTTACAACATGCCAGAATAATGAATTGTGCTGTGAGCTACAGACTCATTGCCAGTGAAGTACACTTTTAAGAGCCCAAATACAGAGTTCTGCACCTGGAAGGGAATTGAGCCAGCCAGGGAGTTGTCTATGCGAAATCTATCCCCTTAAAACATAGGATCCTAAGCATGTACCCTGTAAAGGACTAAGACTTTTTTTAAAATGAAAAAAAAACTCAACCACACATAAAATGGCTTAGAAATATGAGCACAGAGATTACCCCTCAGGCTATTCAAGATATGAGTAGCAGAGGCATATTACGTGGCATACTACAATATTTATGCTCAGACACTTCCTAACCGTGAAATGGCTTTTATGCAGAAACAGCCATTAGTCTTCAGTCAGTTACCTCTTCTGTTAGTAGGAAGGCACAGATTGTGTGAATCTAGGCTTTGATCAGAACAGTTGTTAACATTGTTTTTGCAGTGTATTTGCATGCTCATTCAGGGGTCTGTTACACCTATTTCTAGGTTTCAGACAGAATTAGGCCCATAATCTCTAAACATCACATAAACAGAAAAAAAGACCATCACAAAATACAAATAACCTGGACGACAATCCACACATAACAGGTCTTTAGAGATTAAATGAGTCAGTGTAAGATACCTGATTTAGGACCAACTTTATTCTTTTTTCCATACTTCTAATGAAATTCCCATTAATGCCAACAGAAATTCTGTGCATGTATGGAAAGGAGAATAGATTCCATTGTTTCCTTCTAACCTATCAGTGATCTGGTTCAATAGACACATGCAAAAAATTACTATCAGCAGTCTTTACACAATCAATGCAACAAACAGTACTTCACACTAGCCAAAAATACACAGATCATATTTCTGGACATCTCGGATCCAAAAATGATTATATTCTACTGAGGGCATCATCCATATATATTAGAAGGGCCATATGCTCTTGGGACTTGATACAGTTCAAATAATAGAAACTGTAGCAACTTCCTACTATTATAGCCTCAAGTGACTGCCACAACTTCCTACTTAATATGATGCCATACTGCATTGCAAGAGGAAAAATGATACCGCACAGAGTCTGCAAAAGATCTGCAAATAGCATATAGAGGATGTGGTCTGTGGAAAAGTGGTTCAAGTTTAGAACTAAGTATGAAACTTAGAGGCTAATTAGATATTTAGGCTAAATTCTGCTCAGTTCACTGGTGTAAAGCTGGAGTAATTCTATTTACCTCAATTAAATTATTCCTGATGTACATCAGTGTAACTGATAGCAGAATTTTACTCATAGAGACCTAGATACTATGGTGATTGATGCTCTATAAATACCACAGGGTAACTAAGTTAAAGATACTGAGCCAAATTCAACGTGATGCAAGCAAGTGCAAGTCCTTACGCTTACCTGTTTAAAAAAGAGAGCAAATTTAACAGGTAGGGTGGCCAGGTGTTCGATTTTTGACAGAATGCCCAGCAGCTCCGGTCAGCACTGCTGACCGGGCCGTTAAAAGTCCGGTCGGCAACGTAGCGGGGCCAGCCATGGCTCCGCGTGGCTCCCGGAAGCAGTGGCATGTCCCCCCCCCCGGCTCCTATGTGTAGGGGCAGCAAGGGGGCTCCGCACATTGCCCCCGCCCCAAGCCCCGGCTCTGCAGCTCCCATTGGCTGAGAACCGCAGCCAATGGGAGCTGTGGGGGCGGCGCCTGCAGACGTGGCAGCGCGCACAGCCGCTTGGCTGTGCCTCCACCTAGGAGACGGAGGGGGGACGTGCCGCTGCTTCCGGGACTCCAGACCGGGAGCTGCTTGAGGTAAGCACCGCCCGAAGACTGCAACCCTGATCCCCTCCCATGCCCCAATCCCATCCCAGCCTTGTTCCCCCTCCCACCCTTCGAACCCCTCAATCCCAGCCCAGAGCACCCTCCTACATCCCAAACCCCTCATCCCCAGCCCCACCCCAGCAAGTGCCCTCACCCCCCCATACCCCAACCCCGTGCCCCAGCCCTGTTCCCCGTCCCACTCTCCAAACCCCTCGATCTTAGCCCGGAGCATCCCTCCTACACCCCAAACCCCCCACCCCCGCCCCCCCCCCGCGCCTGCACCCCCAGCCAGAGCCCTCAGACACCTCCCCAACCCCCTGCCCCGGCCCTGCTCCCCTTCCTGCCCTCCGAACCCCTCAGTCCAAGCCTGGAGCATCCTCCTATACCCCAAATCCCTCATCCCTGGCCCCACAACAGAGCCCACACCCTCAGCCGGAGCCTTCACCCCTCTGTACCCCAAGGCCCTGCCCCAGCCCAGAGCTCCCTCCTACACCTCATTTCTGGCCCTACCCCAGAACCCACACTCCCAGCCCAGAGCCCACACCCTAACCCCAGCCTCAGCCTGGAGCCCCCTCCCATACTCCAAACCCCTCGGCTCCACCCCCCAGCCCGGAACCCCCTTCTGCACACCAAATCCCTCATCCCTGGCCCCACCCCAGAGCCCGCACCCACAGCTGGAACCCTCATCCCCTCCCGCACTCCAGCCTCCTGAGCCACCCCGGTGAAAATGAGCAAGCGAGGGTGGGGAGAGTGAGCAACAGAGGGAGGGGAGGATGAGGTGAGCAGGGAGGGCCTCAGAGAAGGGGTGGGGCAATGGTGTTTGGTTTTGTGCCAGTAGAAAGTTGGCAACCCTATCAACAGGTGATGTGTAATATGTAAATTAAACTCCCTTACACATATTTATTTCCATTTACCAATGTGTGCGCATACAGATGTCTAAGTTGGTTTAATTAAAACACCAAGGTTGTAGAAAAGTTATAACTTTCAATAGGTTTTATTACTTAAACATACAACCCCTTCTGCTTGCTTTTTTTTTTTTTTTTTTTTGGCCACACTCCTCCCTTTTAGGCCTTCAACACATACTGACAGAATTTGGCCCATCATCTCTAAGCTTCACATAACCAAAAGAAAAAGAATGAGGCCCCAATTAAAAGCAAGCTTCCAACATAGCAGTGATTGGGCTCTGAGTTGTTACCTCCTACAGTCTCACTGCCAGTGGAGTGTAAGTTGAGGATATAAATGGTAAGAGTATGTTAAAATAAATAAACCTGCAGGCATTTAAGTGAATCTAAACTGGAGGTGTTGGGTGAAAACTGGAAGATGTGAATTATATGAACCTCCACCCCTCTAGACTTTGATTCACTTCTGACTTTGTCTCAAAGACTGCAATTGGCTTCAAAACATGTTTGACAAGCACCAATGCATTCTACCACTCTCACTCATTTCTTAAAATGCCAAATATTGAAAAATCTATTAACCTCCCAAACTATTAAAAATATGTACATACTTAGAATCTGCAGAGTGTTTTCCATCAGAAACTAATAATTTTAAATTATATTATATATTGGACATTAAAAAAATTATCAAATAGTTAATTGCTATAATTTTATTTAACATTTCTTAAAGATCCAAACCTTACACTCCCAGGAGACAGTCAAAGGAAAGAGGGGGACAGCAGAAGAAAAAGAGCACAGAAAATCTGACATACTTCACAGTTTCATGAGACAGGTATTTACATTTAAACAGCCTATACTACAAACTAATCAATTTAGATACAGATATCAGAGCATGACAGAAAAATACCGTGGATGTAGTTAATCTCAATAAACACCTACACTAGAAAAGCTGGATGGGCTACCTGTGTTCTGTCATGTTCAACATATTAAATAAATGAAAGCTAAGTAGGGTCTTTACTTTTGTTTTGTTTAGTATTTATCCAGCACTAACAGAAGACGAACTGTATGAACTAATAGATCTGGTCTATCATCTCTCAGCTTGTTCAGCGACTGATCATTCTTCAATAAATTACGTTTCAGATCAAAATATAACATACAGGTTCATAACCTGAAAGCAAGCTTTATTTCTCTCTTTAAAAATATTCATTTATCCACTAAAAGTGGGCGGACCTCTTTATTGAAATAGGAATATATATACGGTATTCTTCTGTGCTTCCAGGTGATTGTCTGACATGCTATACTATGCTCTATGTATCTAGTGAAAACTTTTAAAGCAGAAATCACCCTTTCATGAATGCACACCCAAAGTACCTACTAACATCAACAGGAGTTATAATGCAAGCACTAAATGTAGAATAAATTCCAAGCCATTGACAAGATGCATCATAACCTTTTGGGGAGCCACTGCAATGTAGCATGTCAAATATGTAAGTATTATTATTATCTCCACACAATTTAATCTGTCAAAAATCAATTTATCATCATCACACCAAATGTGGCCCTGTTCTAAGCAGGTGCAACACAACTAACTCACTAGAGTGGTGTCTGCTTACATTCAACCATCACCATTATCGTCAGTGCCAAAGACACACAATGTAACTTTTGAATGTCTTATGATGCTAGGCAAAATTTGATTTTTTTTAAATAATTTCAACAGATAATATTGTTTATTTTAAGCATCATTTTCTATTTTTATCTATTTAAATTTTCACAGTTGTGCAAAATTATGGCTTTTTTTTTTCAATTTTATCCATTTAAATGCTTACAGTTGCAGGAACTTATGGGAGAGTCAGACAATAATTAATGACAGTAGACAGAGTCAAAAAGTTAAAGCCTTAATAGGTAAAACACAAACTGTCAACATGACATGTCAAAGTATACAAAGTAAATAGCCTTATATCAAACTCTAATAAGTTCTCCAGCAACATTTTTCTTGCTTTCCCTATCTGTAAATTTCAATTATTATCAATTAAAATATTTTTGTCGGTTTGTGTGTGTACGGTGAAATCGATGTTTACTGACATTTACAAATAAAAATCTAATCCTTCCAAGCCTACTTGTTAATAACTACTCTAGGAACCATAGGCGCTGACTCCATGGGTGCTCCAGGGCTGGAGTACCCACGGAAAAAAATAGTGGTGGGCCCCGCCGATCACCTGCTCCTCCTCCCCCCAGCACCCCCTGCCCACCGACGGGCCCCCTGGGATCAGCTGTTCAACGGCAGGCAGGAGACACTGGGGGAGGAGTGGGGACAGGAAGAGGTGGAGTGAGGACAGGGTGTGCTCAGGGGAGGGGGCACAACAGAGCAGGAAGAGGCGGAGTGGGGGCAGAGTGGGGGTGGGGGCTTGAGGGAAGGGTTGGAGTGGGGGTGGGTCCTGGGCCGGAGTGGGGGTCATGCACCCCCTCGGGAAATCAGAAAGTCAGTATCTCTGCTAGGAAAATGTTACTGGCACTGTTGTCTCTCTCATCCACAGAGGAGTTGGTCCAATAAAAGATATTACCTCACCCACCTTTTCTCACTGGCACTGGGGACAGTTGGAAGGTGAGTATATTAACTTTTCTGATCTCTTAGCCCATAAGACTGGGCTATGGAATGGTCCTGGTCCTGGCCCTACTCCTTGTGGGACAGAAACAGACTCCT